CCCTCCCAACCAGAAATTCCTTCCCAATATCCCATCTAGCCCTGCACCCTGCCACTACACCCAACTAAATTACTGGAATTAAGGAAGAGCTCCAGCAAAGAATCCTCTTGGGATCTTCCTGGTTGGATTTTGAAAATCAGGCCAAAGGGAACAAACGTGTTTTATGTGCATGCTCTGGAATTTTTGGGGATGTTCCCAAGCATTCCAGGAAGAGTTTGAAGATCCAAGGCAGTGACTTTTCCATGCTGTTTCTTTCCCTACCTTTAGGGACTCCCTGGGAAGGATGGAATTCCCGGGCTGCCGGGCAGGCCGGGCCGGGTGGGTCCTCCCGGTCCCCCCGGAGTCACGGTGGGTGTTTGTTTGGACTGACTTTGTCACAGTGTCACTTAGGAGGGAGGGTGGCCCTCAAATACCTCCCTCTCCCTGTTTTCCAGGGTATTCCCGGCGTCCAAGGCGATGTTGTGAGTATTTGGAATCATGGAATGGTTTGGGTGGGAAGGGACCTTAAAGATCATCCAGTTCCAACCCCAACACCTCCCACTATCCCAGGTTGCTCCAACCTGCCCTTGGACACTTCCAGGGATCCAGGGGCAGCCACAGCTTCTCTGGGAAATCCATTCCAGTCCCTCCCCAGCCAGCAATTCCTTCCCAATATTCCATCTAACCCTCTGGCAGTGGGAAGCCATTCCCTGTGTCCTGTCCCTCCAGGCCTTGTCCCCAGTCCCTCTCCAGCTCTCCTGGAACCTCTTTAGTCCCTGCAAGGGGCTCCAAGGACTCTGTGGCCCCATTTGGAACTGGAATTTGGGGCTGGGCTCTGCCAGGAGCATCCAGAGCTTTGTTTGTCCACCTGTATCCAGCATTTCCCTTGACTGGGAATGATTAAGCTGGAGAGAGACTTGGAAGCACTGAGGGTGGATCCTAAACCCCCTCATTTCTGAAAATCATGGAATGGTTTGGGTGGGAAGAGACCTTAAAGTCCATCCACTTCCAACCCCAGGAACACTTTCCACTATCCCAGGTTGCTCCAACCTGGCCTTGGACACTACCAGGGATGGAGCATCCATGGTCTTGTGGGTGATTTCCTGTTTAACCTTCAGAATCTACTTCTAATTCCAGGGATCTCCCGGCTATCCGGGCCCGGCGGGGCCAAAAGGAGACAGAGTGAGTTTCATTCCCGGGTTTTATTGGGAAAAAAAAGCTATTTTGGAGCTCTGATCCCTGTTTTCCAAGCACTTCCACAGTGATCTTTGGTGAACATCAACTTCTAAGCCGGGTCTAACTTCTAATCTTCACCTGGGGGACTTCTCCTTCAGTTTTCCAAGGAGGAATTTTCTGTCTTTGTGGAGAAATCCCAGGACTTGGCACATTTAATTGGCTGTTCCCAGAAGGAGGTGGGACTTGGATGGGTCCTTCTTCCCACCCGAGTTTCCACCAGGAACAAACCCGTTGTTCCTGCATTTGGGGCATCAAAATGTTTGGATATCCCAAAAATTCTTCTTATCCTTCCCTTTTCTCCCAGAGCAATCCCAGGAGCTTCTTATCCTTCCCCTTTCTCCCAGTGCAATCCCAGGAGCTTCTTATCCTTCCCCTTTCTCCCAGTGCAATCCCAGGAGCTTCTTCTCCTTCCCCTTTCTCCCAGTGCAATCCCAGGAGCTTCTTATCCTTCCCCTTTCTCCCAGTGCAATCCCAGGAGCTTCTTATCCTTCCTCTTTCTCCCAGTGCAATCCCAGGAGCTTCTTATCCTTCCTCTTTCTCCCAGTGCAATCCCAGGAGCTTCTTATCCTTCCTCTTTCTCCCAGTGCAATCCCAGGAGCTTCTTATCCTTCCCCTTTCTCCCAGTGCAATCCCAGGAGCTTCTTCTCCTTCCCTTTTCTCCCACTGCACATTCCTGCTCCTTCCCTGCATCCCCCTGATCTATCAGCATGACTGAAAACCGGGAATGGATCCTGCTGAAATCCAACCTCCTTTTTTTCCCCCCCCTCTGGAATTAATTTTCTTCCAAGCCAACAAACAAATCCCGTGTCCTGGCCACGCGGTTTTGCTGCCAAAGGAGATGGTTTGGGTTTAACTTTGCTTTCCCTGCTGATGGAATCGCCCCTAAATCATCAAATTCCCGGATTTCCCAACGTTTCCTCCCACCTTTGTCCGCAGGGTGAGCCGGGATACGTCCTGGGAGGAGTGGAGGTGATTCCCGGCCGGAATGGGCAGCCGGGCCCCCCTGTGAGTATCAAGCCTGGAGGAGAAGCAAAAGGAGAGATGGGAGAGATCCCAAATCCCTTCCCTCTCCTGGTTTTCTCTCGTTTCAGGGACCCAAAGGGCAGCCAGGTGTTCCTGGGGCGGCAGGACCACCGGGATCACCAGGAATGCCGGGACCACCGGGGCCTCCAGGGATCTCCATCAAGGTGAGAGAGGGGGGTTGAGCCTTGATGTGCCCCAAGAAGAGGGGACCTGACCCCAAATCCTGCAGGTTGAGGTGTCTGGACCCCTCTGCCTTCCCATGGGGGTGGGAATTTTGGGTTTTTGGGCTCGTCAGGCCCCAGGAGCGTTTTTTTTATGGGATGAAGTTGGGAGAGGAACCTCTTGAGGTTCCACATCCCAGGTTGATTGTCCTTGTCCTTCGTGTTTCAGGGCAAACCAGGAGATGCAGGAGCCAGGGTAAGTCCTGAGGTTCGCCTTGGTGATGATGAAAAGCCCCTTTTTCCTCATTATTTCCACCAAACTTCCCGAAAATCCATGGAAATCCGCCAAGTGAGAGTGTGCTGTGCTCCCTGCAGGGCCCTCGGGGGAGGAGCGGCCTCAAGGGGGACAGAGGAGGCCCAGGAGAGCCGGTGAGTGGTCCAGGGATGGCTCCAGGAGCTTGGGAAGAGCTGCCCAGCCACGGTGGGAAGGGGGTTGGTGGCCTTGGAATGTCCTCCGGAACGAGGGGTGGGTGTAGAGGGACAATTTCTGCTGCCAGATCTCCTGCTCTTCCTCCTGGAATGGAGCTGAGTGTGACCCTTCTCCTTCCCAAATCCCACCTCTCCTGGGGTCAGGAGCTCAGGAAAATCCTGGGACAGATCCAGAGGAAGGAGAGAAGGTGGGACAGCAAACCAGGCAGCAGATTTCACAGAATCCCGGGATATTCTGAGTTGGATCCACAGGGATCATCACCCTGAGCAAGAGAGGTGGTTCTTCCCAGAAGAAGTTCCACAGGGATGTTTGGGAATGTGGGAGGTTGGAGCTGAAGGGGAGAAAAGAGAATTTAAAAGGTTCAGGGAGGACTAGATAAGAAATAAAAGATAAGAAATAAAAGATAATAATAAATAAAAGATAATACTAGTAAGATATTTAGATAATAATAAAAGAAAAGAAAATTTGGGAAATCCCTGGATTACAAAAGGCTCAAACCCGAGGGACTACTGAGGGATCATGTCCATGTCCTGTTCCTGCTCCTTCCCAAGTTTCCTGTTCCTGTCCCTCATGATCCATGGGGCCTTTTTTCATTCCCATTTCCATGTTGTGGAGCTGTATCCCATGGATCAGCCCTTTCCACGGATTCTCTTCCCATCCAAGCCAACACCTCTTTATTTTCCCTTCCTCAGCAAAGCCAGTGATCCGTAAGTCATTTATGCAGGAAAAGGGAATTTGGGAACACCCTCTAAACCCTCAGTTTAGGGTGAGAATATCGGGGGAGATGTTTCTCTGCTCATGTTTTTTGCACTTCAAATTGAACCTTTTCGGGCTGGAAGGGAAAGATTTGAGACTGGATCTTCCTTTTTTAGGGAAAACCTGGTTTGCCAGGCCCTGTGGGGCTCCATGGAGTTCCTGGACTTCCTGGACCACCGGGAGAAAAGGTCACATCCCACATCAGATGTTCCCTGAATCCATCGGCCCCAGGGGGAGCTGAGGGCAGGGAGCCCAAGGAACAGCATGGGGGAGTTGTGGGAAGGCAGGTTGGGATCTCCCAACGTTCCTGGAGCAGCCAAACGTTCCCAGAGAGAATTTCTCCCCCTCCTGGGGGAGGAGCTTTCCCCAAGGGAATGATCAATAATCCTTGTTCCAGCAGCTCCCTCACCCCGATCCTGTGGGACCTGGGCAGGGAGGGCAGAGCTGGTCCCCAGGGTGTCCCCTGTGCTGCTGGAAGGGAACTGCTTGGATTTCCCAAATCCCAGCCGGGCTCAGATCCAGTGGATCCCTTTGTTGGAGACTAAAACTCGACTCAGGGCTCAGTTCTGGGGCTTCAGCTGCTCCCTGTAGACTTAGACCCAGCCTAGAGCTTGGGGAAAGGCTTAACTGAGCTGAACTGCTGGTTTTGGGGGTTCCTGGTGCTCTGGGCTCATCCCACACCTGACCGGGGGATCAGGATATCGAGGGATTGGGATACTCACTGTTGGCTGGCCCCCAGGATATCTTATAGTGGGTTATCCCAGGAAGCCTCTTCCAGGAGAGCTTCAAGCTGCTCCCGGCAGTGTCGGTGACCCTCAGGTCCTGGATGGGCTGGGATTCTGCAGGAGGGGCTGGAGAAAGGAACCAGGGGGAGATGGCTGAGGGAACAACCTCAAGGTGGAAGGGGCAGAGCCACAAATCAAGGAATTCCCAAATCAAGGAATTCTCAAAAACTCAAGACCCCAAGTTGGAAGAGGCAGAACCACAATTAGCTCCCAAATCAAAGAATTCCCAAAATCTCAGGATTCCAGGTTGGAAGGGGCAGAGTCACAAATCAAGGAATTCCCAAGTCAAGGAACTCTCAAAACCTCAAGACACCAAGTTTGGGAGGGGCAGAGCCACAAATCAAGAAACTCCCAAATCCTCAAGATCCCAAGTTGGAAGGGACAGAGCCACAAATCAAGGAATTCCCAAATCAAGGAACTCCCCAAACTCCAAGACCCCAAGTTTGGGAGGGGTAGAGCCACAAATCAAAGAATTCCCAAATCAAGGAATTCTCAAGAACTCAAGACCCCAATTTGGGAGGGGCAGAGCCACAAATCAAGGAACTCCCAAATCAAGGAACTCCCAAAATCTCGAGACCCCAAGTTTAGAAGGCGGCAGAGCCACAAATCAAGGAATTCCCAAAACCTCAAGACCCCAAGTTTGGAAGGGGGCAGAGCCACAAATCAAGGCATTCCCAAATCAAGGAATTCCCAAAACCTCAAAACTCAAGGCTCAGGGCTCAGTTCTGGGGCTTCAACTGATCCCTGTAGACTTAGACCCCGCCTAGAGCTTGGGAAAAGGCTTAACTGAGCTGAACTGCTGGTTTTGGGGGTTCCTGGTGCTCCGTGCTCATCCCACACCTGACCAGGGGATCGGGATACCGAGGGATCGGGATACTCACCCCGGGATATCCCGTGGCAAACATTTCCAGAGGGAATTTCTCCCCTCCCGCTTCGTGGGGAGAGCTCCGAAGCAGATTTTGGGGAGGGGACAAAACGCTCTGGGACAGCTTCGGGAAGCGGCTTTTCCTGAGAATTCCGCGCTTGCCTCGCAGGGGACGGCGGGAACGGGAATTCCTGGCGCTCCAGGCTCCAAGGGGGAAGAAGGAGAGCAGGTGGGTCGGGAATTTTGCGGCAAAATTTGAATTTAAAGTCCCCCTGGAGGCTCCAGCATCTCCAAAGTCTCCTCCAACACCAGGATTTTTCCTGGAAGGTGAATCTCCTGTGGGAATGTGGAGAAGAGGGGAAAATGTTGGGATTTAAACTCAGAGCTTTCCCCGTTTCTCCCGTCGTTTCCAGGGGCCGATGGGACCTCCGGGAGCACCAGGACCAAAGGTAGGCACTGAAATCCCGAATTCCTGTCCCTGGTTTCAGGTGCCAAGGGAGTTTTTTATCCCTAACCATCGTCAGGGGCTGTGGGAATCAGGGAATCGTGGAATAGCTCGGTTTGGAAGTGACTTTCCAAGGTCAAGGAGATCTTCAACTGGTCCTTTCCAACCCAACCCCGACCCTTTTTTTTTTTCCTCAAAAAAGCAAAGAAAGGGGATAATTTTACACACCAGCACTTCCCTGGACTGTGGAATTCCGACTGCAGAGACCTGGGATAGGGTGGGAAGATGGGATATTTTAATAAAATAATATATATTTTAATAAAATAATAAATGCCACTTTTGCAAGACCCCCCCCTAGAGAACTGTAGAATTTCACCCCAAAAGTGGTTTAGGAGGCAAATCGTCTCCCACCTAAATTTGGGAACGCCTCCCTCCGAACATTCCAGGCCCGGATTCCACTTTCCAGCAGGGAAATTCCAACCCTGTGAGAGGTGATCCCTCATCCTTGATGGATTTTCCCTGGGATGGGACCGCCCCGCGCTCCTGGTAGTTGGAAATCAAAGCTTTCCCGGGCTTGGGAATTCCCATTTTTCAGCCAAGAGCCCTGTCTGGAAAAAATATCTTGGAATTAGTGGGAAAACTGGAGGCTGAAGAGCTTCATCCTCCTCTCCCTCCCTCTTCCTGGGAGAGTCTCCCAAAACCGGGAGCAAAAGCGTGGAATCTCTCTTGAATCCGGCGGGATTTTTGGTGTCTTCCAGGGAATTCCAGGAGCTCCGGGGCAGAAGGGAGAGCAAGTGAGTGAGACAGGAAGAGGGAGCAGCTCAGCTGGGGGTATCCCGACTTTTTCCCAGCTGGATCCCAGCTCTTGGAAGCTCAGCTTGGTGGGTGAAACCACCGGGAATGTCCTCGAGCTCGGCGTCTCCTCCGATCCGCCTCGCGCTTCCCAGATGAGTTGGGAGCGGTTTTAAGGGAAGGACGGAGGGGGAAAAACAAGGAGAAGGAAGTTGCTGTCACCCCACATTCCTCTGATGTCCTTTTTTCCTTGCAGGGAAACCCGGGAATTCCAGGTGCTCCGGCTGTGGGGGTAACTATGAGCGGGATCACAGACCTTGAGTCACCCCCATGGAGCAGGAGGGATGCATCCCAGAATTTCAGGAATAACCCACAGGCCTTTTCCATGATCTTCCAGCCAACTCCCTCACTCCAATCTTCGTATTCCCAACCCTTCTTTGTATTCCCAGCCCTTTTTTTTCTTGGTATTCCCAGCTCCTCCTCAAAGGAGCTTCCTGGAAAATCCTTCCCTGGAAAATCCTACAGGGTGACACGAGAGTGCAAAATTCCACCTTTTTTGGGGTTGTTGGGAAAGTCATCCAGTTATTAATCAGGAAAAAAAAAACACTGGGAAACTTTAAATTCCCATTTTCTCCCGTGGATCACCCACGGAATGGGAGCAGGACGAGGAGACGATGGAATCACTTCTCCAGGCTCTGAATTTTCCCCAGATCGATTTCCAGGGAATATTTATTACCCAGTGGGGTTTTTTTTTCCAGGTTTTCCAGCCCTGAGGCAAAAAAAGGGGGGAGAAATTCCCGCACGAGGGAAAGAAAAGACCGGATTTGGATGACGAAGTTGTTGGAGATCATTCCATGTTGGTCTTTTTTTTTCCAAGTAACAAAAAAATGGGAGAAGGGAATGTTTTCCTTGTGCTCCAGGCCTGTCCCTCTGATCCAGCTGCTCCTGGAGCTGCTCTGGATCCTGCTGGAGAACCCTCAGGGGTGTCCCATCCAATTCCAACTGGACTTCCATCCGGGAATGGGACCACCCTAAGGGACTGGGAGCGCCTCCAGTGTCCTGGAGGATGTTTTTGGAGGAGCAGGAATTCCCTGTGGGAAGGTCTGGGTGTGTCACCCAGAGCAAGAGAGGTGGTTCTTCCCAGAAGAAATTCCACAGGGATGTTTGGGAAGGGGTTGTTGGCCTTGGAATGTCCTCTGATGGGTGTATAGGGACAATTTCTGCTTCCAGAATTCCTGCTCTTCCTCCTGGAATGTGACCCTTCTCCTTCCCAAATCCCACCTGCCCTGGGCTCAGTGACCCTTCTCCTTCCCAAATCCCACCCTTCTCCTTCCCAAATCCCACCTCCCCCCCGGGAAGGAAGAGCAGGAGGACGTTTGGACGAGCAGGAATTCCCAGTGGGAAGCTCTGGGAGCGTCACCAAAAGCTCTTTCCTGGGAGGGGTCGTCGATCCCCGGAGCCAAAACCTCCGGCGGTTCCGTGGGGGATTCTTCCCGAGCTTCTCCTGGTAAATCCCAAATTTTGGGAATTTTGGGGGGTTTGTGGAGCCCTTTCTGGGTTTCCTATCCCATGATAAGGCTGAGATTCCTTTGCCCGGGAAAACAAGGAACACGGAAGGGAGATCCTTTTTTTTCTTTATCCCAAAGAAAATCTGGGATTTCTCTTCCTCCTCAGGTTTTGGGACCTCCAGGCAAGAAAGGGGCCAAGGTGAGTTCATTATCCAGGAACTGGAAGTGCCCGAAATGTCGGGATCTGCGCCTGGAAAAGGGAATGTTGGGCCATGGGGGGGTTTATTAATCCTATTTTTCTTGGGATTGCTGGAAAAGAGAGGTTGGAAAAGCGGGAATAATCTGATTCTGGCGGGGGGGGGTTCCGGCTTTTAATCACATTTTGGGACTGGGGTGGTTTTTCCAGCCCTGATTTGTGGGGAAATTTGGGATTTCCTTGTGCTCTTTTCCCAGGAAAAGAAGTATAACTATAATTGAAATTATAAAATTATTATATACGAAATTATAAAATTAT